TTAAAAAATAACAAACATAACAAACAACAGACAAAAAAAAAAGTGAAACAAAACAAGCAAGGGAGAGCGCACTAGATCTAGATATCTAGACACACATTTAAAGAAACATTGTAAAACTTCATCAAGAAAAAACCTACAATATATATATATATATATACCTTCTCTCTTACCCTTCTCCCTCCGAGACCTAACATTGACAACACACCCTATGGAACATTACAGCAACTGCAGCAAACCTGCACTTATCACTACATGGCATTGGACGGAAGGGCGAGAGCCCAGCTGTTGCTGGATTGATTACAATAATAACAACAACATACCTTCTCTCTCCCCCCCTCTAGGTGAGCCTACTGTCCCGCCAACTGTCCGGGGGTTCGACCCTCCCGTCCTCCAGCCTCAGCCTTCTGTCCCAGCCCATGGAGGTGAACCTGCCTTCCATCCCGCTGGAGCTGAGCACGCTACGCCTCTCCTCCGACCCCACGCCCAACCTCTCCTCGCTGGAGCTCAAGGAGGAGGTGATGGACGAGGAGCAGAGGTATACACATGTTGTCTTTTAGTTTTGTAAGTAAGTGTTTTACGGCGCTTGCAACACCATGATAAGGTCATATAAGTGCTGAAGATTAGAGGTGTTACAAGAGAGTAACAAACACAAAAAAGAAAGAGGGGAGATAAAGGCGATAGATGTTTTTAAATTTTTTTATAGTCGAGGGTTTTACGGCGTTTGCAACTGCAGAAGGTCATATGAGCGCGCGGAACACAAGTTAGTTTTTTTATACGCAGTTCACTGCACGGCTGGGTACGGGTTATTTGATCTTAAAACGTTGAAATATTTAAAATTTGGTGTATATTTTCAATCTAAAATAACTTTCATAAAAAATTTAAACAATTCAATTGTATGTTGTCTGTCGCAAGCAAACGTTGCTCTTTTTTTATTTGAAAAATTTTTTTTTTTCCTCTTTGGTAAGTGTTTTACGGCGCTTGCAACTGCATAAGGTCATATGATCGCACGGCACACACCAGGTCTAACGCAAGGCTGCACAGTTGAGTACATCATGTATTACTGAGGTCCTTAAGTTTTCGTAAGAGTTTTACAGCGCTTGCAGCACGATAAGGTCATATAACTTAGTGCCGAAGATTAGAGGTGTTACAAGAGAGTAACAAACATAAAAAAGAAGGAGGGGAGATAAAGACGATAGATGTTTGATAGGAAAGAAGGAGCAAACCACACCAGAGCACTTGCCTACCACCCACGTATGTTGTCTGTCGCAAGCAAATGTGCTCTCTCTTTTCTTTTCTTTTTTTTTTTTTTTTTGGTACAGTACAGCAGCCTCTCTAACGATATCATCGGGACCAGAAAAAAATGTCATTATTATAGAGAGTTGTTGTTATAGAGAGGCAACCGAAAATAGTACAAGAACTAATGACCTTACATTTAACAAATCGCGACCTGGACACCATGTCGCTGTACAGAGGATGTCGTTATATCGAAGATCGCTATAGAGGGGCTGCAGTGTAAGTGTTTTACGGCGCTCGTAACTACATAAGGTCATATGAGCGCCGGCGGGGGACACGTTAAACATTTTCAGTTGATAGGACATTTTGAATTTTGCCTGGGTGGCGTCTGAAGACCACCAAGGGATCTTTAACGTGCGCAACTTGCACACGAGACCTCCGAGATTTTTCGCCCTTGTCTGAGAGGGCTAGGTGTGGATCTAGATCTTTCTTACTGGAAGGGGTGTGTCTGAAAGACACCAGAAAGAAGAAGCCGAGGAGTAGCCGTAGAAAGGTTGCAGAAAGAGTCAGGAGCCCAGAAAAGGGGGCAAAAAGGGGGGAGGAGAGAAAGTGGAGACAAAAGCAGGCAACAGAACAATGCTGGAGAGCAAGAAAGGAGGTGAAAGTAAGGAGACAATTTTAGGCGAACACCTTAACCCTATCCGTACACCCTGGGGTCATTTTGTACCCCCGGGGTTGTATTCTTCACATTTTAGAATACTTCTAGTGCGAAGACTCTCTGAAACTTTCAGTATTTGTCCAAAAATCATTTTGACCGACTGCTATGCAAAGCGTACGGATCGGATTAACGAGTAAATTTTCTCTTTGGAAAGCGGTGGCACTGAGTTCCCCACGTCGTATGGATACGATAGTAAAACACGACGTACAGACAGGGTTAAGTGGTGGCACAGAGTTCCCCACATCGTATGGATACGATAGTAAAACACGACGTACGGACAGGGTTAAGGGGTGGCACAGAGTTCCCCACATCGTATGGATACGATAGTAAAACACGACGTACGGACAGGGTTAAGGGGTGGCACAGAGTTCCCCACATCGTATGGATACGATAGTAAAACACGATGTACGGACAGGGTTAAGTGGTGGCACAGAGTTCCCCACGTCGTATGGATTCGATAGTAAAACAC